AAGCTGTGTTCAAATATAAGCTCCATGGCTTCATGGCTTCCAGGCCTCTGAACTTTGAGTTAATTATTTACTCTCTTAACCTCATTTCTAAATTGGGATGATAATACCACCTCACCTGGTCATGGTGAGAATTAGATCAGATAATATTTGTAAAGCGTCCCCAAAAATGCCCTCAATTAATGCCACTATCCTGTGTCCTCTCCTTTATCTTCCCAAACTAACCATCCATTAACATTAAAGGAGTAAATTCTAGTGATACCCATTGTTGCTGATACTTGAGGTCCCAGGCTCTACCATAAGAGTTTAGCAGTGTATCACCTCGTTTTAGAACATCTATAACATCTCTAACGTGCTGAGATGTTAAAGGGCAAAGCACAGTTACAGTAATTCCACAGCAAATTGAATGTATCATAGTTTATATTTTTTCAATGAGCCTTAGAGAATCTTAGTGAGACCTAAATACTTGTACATGATTAAGGTGGGACTGATGAGGTTCTATCCCACCCTTTCACAATGTTTTCACAATGTTGTATTTAAAATATAGGCCTCGGGCCTGCCCGGTGGCGCACTGGATAAGTGCGCCACTTGGGAAGCGCAGCGCACGCTCCCGCCCGAGGGTTCGGATCCCACATACAGACCGGTTCCCGCTCACTGGCTGAGCGAGGCGCGGGAGCAGCACCGAGGGTTGCGATCCCGTTGCCGGTCCCCGGTCCGGTACGGGGGCAACACTGAGGGTTGTGATCCATTGCCGGACACGGAAAAAGACAAAAGACAAAAAAAATAAATAAATAAAATAAAAATAAAATATAGGCCTCCTTGCCAGTGCCTTGAGTCATTTAACCCAGGGAATCTCTTCAATCGGTCTATGGTTTCTGGCTTAGAGCACATAATTTCCTGTTCTAAACAGCAGAGAAGCAAAGAAATAAAAGTAATGCTGTTAAAATATGCCCTATGTACATTTGAAAGAAACTAAATAGACCTGGCTTCTCAAAACACAGCAGATGTTCCCAAAAAAAAAAAAAAAGTGAGCTTACTCTCCTTTTTTACGGTTATTTTAGGTTACTTTCTTATATGGGACTTTTCTTATATTTCCAAACTAAGGAAAATATTCAAATATTCAAGTATTTATCTTAGTTCATCAATTTAGATACAAGGGATTACACAGATTATTCAGCAATTTTGTGTAAAAATTGCTAAACTAGGCAATGTACCCTGAGGGATGGTATCTTGGAGTATTCAGCACAGCCTTGGTGTGTACTGTGTGTATCATGCTGCTTCTTGCCAGAGCTGCTGGAACTTCTGGCATGCATCCCAGGCTCCATCTGATTCTAAGGCTTCTTGCTAAGAAGGTAAGAGAGAGAGAGATGTTCTTGTTTGTAATTTCCTTAGGAACTCTACTATGCTCCTCCTGATCTGCATCAGTGGTATCAGGAATCCCTGGACAGACCCTGAAAGTTGTGTTATTTCCTGATTTCCTGTAGCTACTCCCATGAAAGATAAAATCAGATCAGAGCAACCCAAGAGATCATTACTGCTCTATAATTTTGACTGTTAAAAAGCCCTGATTCACAGGACCACCAGAATGTATTATTTTCAGTTTTCTGCAGAATTCTCAAAGAGACATTTTAGGAATCCTGAATTCCATAGGTTCCAAATGAGATCAGAATTCTCCCAATGGAATATCAGAACCCATTCAGATTCTAGTGATCAGAATGGGGTCCTGAGTGCAAATTAAAACACTTTCTTCTTACCTTGCTCTGTCTCCCAACTAGTCTAGAATGAGTCAGGGTTCTCTTGTATTCATACACATCCGAATTGCCGAAGCCCTGATGTGAGCATGTTCCCTATCCACGTGTGCACACTCACACTTACACACAGACTCACACAGACACATGGAGCATCTCATGCGTGCTCCTAGGCAATTTAATGCTCAGGAGCAAAAGTGGAAAGGCGACAAGTTACTATGATTCATTCATCTCCAGGAATGTATCCAGTTGTCATTTAACCCCAATGTTACTTTTTTAATTTTCCAGACATATTCCACTCTCGAGCCTGTTTTATTCATTTTGTAGCTCCACATAGTAAGAGCTCTGAGGGCCTAGGGAATGGATTTATATTTGCACCTTGCCCCTCTGACACTCTTTACTGTTTCTTGCTCATAGACGATATTCATTGTTTGTTTGTTTGTGTAGGTAAGAGTTAGTAAAAGGAAGTAGTTAGGAAAGTTCTCAGGTGCATTGAGTTTCACTTGCTGTAGATTCCTAATGCCTTCTGAATATAAATTCTTGTCTTTAGATACCACCTTTCCTGATATAACTGACAGAAAAAATACACTTTGGATGAGGCAGGAGAAGAAGAAAGGACCAAAATATTTGAATTGATGATGTTGGTCCTCATCAGGGAGCTGACCAATGTTAGTTCCTTTGGGATACTTACTGTTAACTCACACAGGTCATATCATCACTAGGGGTGGGATAAAAGAGTTGGATGGGTGTTGCTTACTGATGTTGAGACATAAAAGGCAGCATTAATATGGTTTCCATTCAGTGACAATGAGACATATGTAAAAGATATCTTGAGAGATCTTTGCAAACTTCTGGAGACATGGAGATCCACTTGGAGGAAAATGCAATAGGAATTCTTATACATATTCTACTTTAGATTTAAAAGAATAAATCCTTTACTAAGTGGAAGTTCAAAATCTTTATGTAAAATATACTCAATCATGTGAGATTTGAAGGATTTTTCTCTCTCTCGCTCTCTCACTTTCTCCAAACTTCAACTTCTTTATTTTCTATTACTAGGTAAGCTTATCTTAAAAGCACATTTTATTCCAAGAAAAAAAGATATGTTCTCTGTTTCTCAATAAATATCCTTAACAAAGACAAAATTAATGTCTGTTTTTCAACATTTGGGTAAGCTTATCTTAAAAGCACATTTTATTCCAAGAAAAAAAGATATATTCTCTGTTTCTCAATAAATATCCTTAACAAAGACAAAATTAATGTCTGTTTTTCAACATTTGCTGCACGTTCTTGTTTTTATTGCTGAAAAGAGTTGGGTTGGAGTCTTTGCATTCTTATCTCCAGCCTGTTTACTGAATTTTCAGTCAGCTTTCTCAGGATTAAACTATCTTTCACTTACAAACATAGGTGTTGTTAACCGAAGTTGCTTTCCATGAAATGTTGCTCAGGTCATTGGTGGATCAGCAACAACCAAAATGAATGTACGATTTGCGTTTACACTTTTATTTTTCATTAGGTAATGCATGTGCTGACAAAAAAAAAAAAAAGAAAGAAAAAAGAAAGAAAAAAGAAAGAAAGAAAGAAAAGCACAACAGTATACAGAAAAGAGCAAATGCCCTTCCCCACCCCATCCATTGTGAGCCTGCCATTCTTCTCTACACTGGAAAACACTGAAAGCAACTTCTTAGGTATCCTGTTAGGTATCAGATAATCATTTTGAAGTTACTGTACATAACTTTGTAGATAGTAATTTATTAGTAAAAAGAATAGTTCTAAGTACCAGCACCTACCATTTATTGAGCACTTAGCGTGCATTAGGTGTTTTCTATACAGCTGTTATGTAACAGAAAAAAAGAAAAATGAATGAATGAGTAAATGAATGCCCATCAGATGTGCCAGGTTTGTTTTGCTTTGGGTAAGATTTGTTAATACAATGAAGAATCTTGAGGATCGAAATTTTTTTTCGGAAAAGGAAGTAGACCCGGCATGGTCACAGGGCTAATAACTGGAAGGATGGGATTTCAGGGCGTGTGTATTGGGCGTCAAAGCCCACGCCCATCTATTTTGAAATACTGAATAGCTTCTCATCACTGCAAACTCTGGGGATGGTCAAGGATGTGTTTCGTATTTGTTCCTTTCCCCTAATTACTTTCCCATTGTTAACTCTCTAATACGTAGAGTCTATGAATTTGAAGGAGAGGCTCTCGTGTGAAACAAGGAAAAGACCCCATGGTCCATCCCCGCACCCCTTTGATTGTATAGCCTTTCTACACGACCCTCAAGAACTTCAATTTGAAAGAAAGAAATTGTAATACAGTACCCACCTACGGATGTATTCTACAGAGTCCTCTCTACCTCCTGTCCTAAAGGCTTGTTGCTCAAATTTGATTTTGTTTTTTTAATGGAATTCGGGAGGGGTGAGGGTAGAGTTGTTTGAGAGTTCATTGCAATCCCTGGAAGCGGTAAGGAAGAGGTTAAGCTGGACCAGGAGGATTTTTGAAGTCTTTGGCTGGGAGGTTCCATTTGGAGAAAGGTGCAGGGGAGCTAGGGGTAGCGAGAGACACAAGACAAGTTCTCATTCGCTTGGATTTCCAATCCTGAGCAGTTTAATTCTCACCTGAGGGCGCAGTCGGGTACCCGTGGCTCGTGGGCGGAAATATTGACGAGCAGAACTTGCCTGACCAACGCCTGAAGAGCGTAGAGTGAGGCAGGGAAAGGATTGCGCGGCCCCTTTAAGTATTCTCGGGCCAGGGAAGAGAGAGAGGAAACTGGGAGCCGCGGGGACGGTGGGGGAAACCCACAAGCAATTGAGCCAGAGAGCAGGCAGCGTGAGAGCAGAAACTTCAGACACTGCTGATCCCGGCGAGCTCGGGTGAGCCGCGGCGGCCGTCGCTCTCACCCGTTGCATCCTCCTCCTCGCCCCTCTCTGCCACCCCGGGGAGCTCCGGGAGCTGCCTCTCTGCAGCTACCACGAGCCCAGGGGTGCGATCAGCTATCCCCAGGAAGTTTGGGGTGCCTTGTGCGCGTACCCCAGGGGGCGAAGGGCCGAGGGCGATGCTGGGCGCCGCGCGGGGCTGGGGGCGTCCGGAAGGCGCGCGTGTGTCCGCGGTCCTGCTGCTGTCCCCAGTGCCCTCCGCATCCCCCAAGTGATGGGAACAAGGGCCCGTCCAGGCAGCCGCTGTCGCCGCACCGCCCCCTCGCTCGCCTCCTGCGCACGGAGTCACCCAGGCACACCCCCGGCACCCCGAGCCGGTCCTCTGGAGCTGCTGCCGCTACCTTGGCTGCCGTCGCCACTGCCGCGGGTGGCCGGCTGCTGACTGGGCTCGCCAGGAGACGGAGAAGCACTCTTCGGCCCTCCCTAATCCGTTCTCACACCCCAACTTTGCCGCCGCCGCTCCTGCCCTCGCAGCGGCGCTCGGGCGCACACTGTCGGGGCGCACGCCGGGAGGCTCAGCAAGACGTGGAGGCAGGAAACGGCACAACTGCTCTTCTGCTTCGGCTCTTTGTTGTTAGCTTTGGATGGTCCTTGGAAGTGTCCTGGCCTCCTCGGAAACCCTGGGGCCGGAGAAGACATACCTTGGACTTCTTCGTCTGCAAAGGGCTCTGAGATACTGACAAGCGTCCGGAAAGGTCGACAAGTAATTGCCCTGAAAACTCCTGGCGGATTGACCCACGTTGCTTATATTAAGCCTTTGTGTGTAGTGTGTGTGGTGTGTGGCTTCATAAATTTGGGGACCCCATTTAGACTCCCTCCTCTTGGCAGGAGACTGTATGCAGGATCCACCCGAGGACAATGATCGCGGAGCCTGCTCACTTTTACCTCTTTGGATTAATATGTCTCTGTTCAGGTAACCCCGCGTCTTCTTTCTTCACCCTTGATCTCCCTTGCTCGTCCCCTCTCCACTTTGCGAAATCAAACGCCGAACTGCATTTTGGCAACCTCTCCTTTCTAAGGCCAGCGGGGCTCGATCCCGGCAGGACATTTAGGCGAAAGGGATCCCAGCTCGCATTTGGGGTTGTCTCTTTTCCCCCATCCCCCAAGACCCCCAAGCCTCTTCTCAGACCTCGGCCTTTCGCCAAGTTCGGGTCACGCCCAGTTTGATTCCTCCGGGCAAACGCACCAGGGTGGGAGGCGGCATCGGTTGGCGGTGAGCTTGGGCCCCCAGGATGAGCCGAAAGGAGTGTCATCCACCGGCCGGTTCCTTCCGGGGAGG